CCCCCCCCCCCCCCCCACACCCATGGCAGGAGATATTTTTTTCCCCCCTCAAGAGGCCAGGGCTTTTTTTTTTAATGTTTTCAAGAGCCAGGACGCTGGGGCTGGGCAGGGCAGCCATAGCCGGGGCTGGGAGAACAGGTGGGGGATGGGGCCTATTTGATTTGGAGAGTCGGCCGATTTGGCAGTGGCCAAATCTCTGAATCGGATTCAGCCAAATCGATTTGGGACAGTGATTCGAATCACCGAATCGAACCACTGTCCCCCGAACTGGCCAAATCCAAATCCAAAGTGAATGCTAGCTGCTTCACACAGGCCTACTCTCACATTAGGCACATTAGGGAGCAGTTAGCCAACATTAGAAAGCTATAAAAATTCTCTCAAATGAGTGCAATATGGAAGAGGGAATAGTATGCATCATTATGCTTTTAGGTAGCTGCTTCAAACCATGGAAATATAGAAGTCATTTAAAAAAAAAAATCACTATGCAATTTCCTTTGAAAGGATGCAAGAACAATTAAATAGTTGAAAACAAAGCAAAAGCCGCCCCTAAAATGGCATAATACTTTTTACCTATCAATAAGTTTTCTATTAATTATGTACTGTATACTGCTAAAATACACAATACTAAAACCTTCAAATATGAAAGGTTATTTGCTTAAATATGGACCAAGACATCCTATTCTTATTAATCCAGGAGGGTCTCTTGGATTAAGTCCAGGTTTTAACCCACTGAGGTCAAAAGGACAGGATTATGGTGGGCAGAATTTTGACATAAAGCTTAAAAGGATTTTAAGCAAGTGAGAGAAAGGGAAGTTGCACACAAGACAATTTGTTTAATTTATACTACGTGTTGGTTTTACACAATTGAAAATATACAGACATAACTCACCCAGCAGATAGCATTTGATGAGGTATAAATAAGTTATACATCAAGCTGCATTTTCATATGGTCTCTCTCATATTTGGACCACACCAGAAACCTTACCCAGAAAGCTAAATTCCACTGACTCCCAGCATTCAGCTCGCTAACTGAACTACTTCAAAAACAGAAAAAGGAAGATTTATTTGACTGTACCACAGTCAGAGGAAGAAGGTCTGACTTCATCCTACTCCCTGTTCCTAGCTAAAAAGAAAATGGTACATGGAAGAAACTTCCTGTCACCATACCCTTTTGCTGTATTGCATTACGTGTGTGATCAGTTTGAAATATTACAGTAGTACATAGCTCTGTATTTTGAAAACATGGTTCTCTTTTGTTAATCATACTTTTTTGTCCATGCATAATATTTAAGTCTATGCAACTATAAAAAAAAATTAGCCAGAGCATTTTTTGCATCAAAATCCCATCTATTACAACAATATAGAATTAAGTTACAATGTTCAAGGACAATGAAATTTAAGTTATATTCTCTTTTTCATAATATTGAGGTGAAATTGCACAGAATTCTGTTAGCATTAAAGATAATTTTCTAGCTCTGTAAGTATAACCACTAGCATTAACACAAAGGTCTTCTGATTCACTTACTCTTTTCGGAAAACAACTGCAAAAGTTACACAAATGCCAAATGTGAAACTATTTTGCTAATGTGTCTTCCTTGACAAGAATGGAGCTTACACTGGGTTTGGTTCCTTCATTTGATAAAAAATATTGGGAATTGCCCAAACTGAAAGAATGGGATAAAATATGTTGGAAGGTAAAAAAAATGACCTGAAAAACTGTAAAGAACTGCTTTCTGCCATGATTTCTGTAGGAGTCCTCTGATAAAGTGAAAATGAATAACTTGAGTAAAACATTTCTTAGTTCCTTAATCATTTCACCAGTTGACTAGAATCATCCCTTTTTGTCTAATGGTAATAGCATCAGGTGGGGTGGATCTGATTTAAATCAAATCAATTTAAATCATGACTTAAATCAGAAGCTTTGATTTAATCATTGTTTTCTACAAAAAGTGCATTCTTGTTGTGTGATATAACCATCATTAAAATATTCCCAAAACGGGGTCTGTTTTATGACCTGGCCATGATAGCTTTTCCTTTCTCCCATACCATTCCCTCACTAGATCTCAAATCAATGGAGAGGCTATACTCAGAAACTTCTCCTTCAAGATTTCCAGAATATTATGCTCAAAATGTTTCTCTTTTGTTTCTACTGCCCCTCCCTCCTTACATTTATCTCCAAACTCCTCCTCCTTGCCCAGATCTACTCCACCCCCAGCAATCCTCTATTCATTTAACTTCTTGAAACTTTGCACTTTTAGAGAGAGGTAAGGGCTTGACTGTTTACACAAACTTGCAGAGAGACAATAGGTAGGTAATCAGGTCTGTTATCTCTCATCTCCATATACTGCTGTTAACAAGGATGTTATCTCCGGAGATACAAATCCCCAGTTTGAAAACTGAAACTAAGCATCACAGATGCTTAATGGGATCTTCTAGACTGAGCACTGAGTCCCATTAGGGCGAGTGGTTTTCTTTAATCTATAGAGGAGCCTCTGGGAACCCCATAAAATTGTGCCCCTAATATAGTCCATGTCCTGTTGTGACCTATTTATAAAACATTTCTAAAAAGTTTACATGAATATATTATCTCAAATAGTATATAATTAGAACTTACAATAGCTATTCCATAATATCTTTGAGCTTTAAATCAAAATATCAAATATCTTAAATCAAACCTATCTTTATATGTTTATTGTTTTAAAAAAGCATCTTAAAAATAAAAAAATTATTAAATCAAAAACTCTAATTGAAATAAAAATCCAATTTTTAAAAATGGTTCATTTTTATCCACTCTGGCATCAGCGATACATGACTTTCTTCCCTCAGTCTTCCCAGTAAGAAAAATAACAGTATTATTAGCATACTGGACCTATGTATTTTCCTTTGGTAGTTCTGTCCCTTTTTATTTTACTAATTTAGTACCAGTTTTACACGAATCCAAGATGACACTGAATTTAAGACGACACCCCCAATAATTAGATTCTATATATGAAGGTGTGGGGGGGGAAGGGGGTGCAGGGTAAAGGCAAAGGGGAGTAGAGGCAAGGGGTGGGGGGCAAAGGCAGCAGCTGCAGTTCTGATCCAGAGGCCAGATCAGGGTCAAAGCCACCTATTCCCTCCCTCCTCCCCTTATCCCTTGGAGCCACATCCAAAGTGAGGGGAGTTTTCTCCCCATGCTTTTATCTGACTTTACTGGCATGCAAGCCAACTTCTAGTACTTGGCCTTCTTCAAAGTGCAGGAAGAATTGGTTAGTTCAGAGATCAGCAGCCTTTGGCCAGCATGGGCTGGAACCTGCAATCTGGCTATAGGCTGTAAGTCTCTGCTTCCCAGAGTGGCCAACTGTCACTGCAGATTTCTTACCCTTCTGCCATGAAGGAAGTGCCAATATGCCAAAGCAGAAGGCCTCATAGCAGAGGCGAGTACTGTGGGCATGTCATCACAGCACTGTGCTACTCATCACCCATGCCAGATCAGACCTTCAAGGGCTGACCCTGGATTAGCTGATGCTTCTCTGTCACTGGTCTGACACTTCTGGTCCCATTGCTTCCCCCCGGTCTCTTTTGTTCAAGGAATTAAACCTAGATGTTACTTTATCTTGCAGCTAGAAAAGTAGTTTCTATTTTCCTGTTCAAACAAATTCCTGACTGGCAAGCATTTGGAATATTCTTCCCATTTTTCCATGCTCTCCTTGGGGAAAGTTCCTGCTGGATAGCTTGATCATAAGTGCTGGCAATCTGCACCATTATTAGGTTCATCTGTCATCTCTCTAACTTAGACCAAATAAAACACTGCATGCAATTGCTCAATACATTCTTAAAAAAAAAAAATCAAAATTAGGTCATCTCCATATTGGCCTTTAGAATCTCCACAAATAACTTTATGTACAAATAGATCCAACTGTTTTAGTAGCATAAAACTTTTAAATCGAAAGGAATCTGTAGAAATTATGTATAAAACTCCTAACAAAAAAAAAATAAATAAAACACAAGCATCTCCAGCATGCCACTCACTCCAAAATATTATCCACATGAAGTATCTGAATTCTAACCACAGAAAATATGGGATTCTCTATTTGCTCTAATTGTGGTACAAAATGGGCACGTCTACATGTGCCCTGATTGTGCATTTGGTATTTTAACAGTCCTGGTACTAATTTAACAGTCCCAGCAGCGCATGGTTATTTTTAGACGCTACATCGCCACAACGATGTAGCTCATTGCTACTGTGCAGTAGCATCAGTGTCATGGTTTGTGCCTGCCAATGCTGTATCGCCACAGCTCATCACTACAGCGATGTGGTGTCTCATGTAGATGCGCCCAGTAAGGGCTAAATGCCATAATGGTTCTAAGCATCTCCTGAGAAGTGCTGATCATCTTCACATATCATAGACTGCACCATCTTACAAGGTGATCAGCACATTGCAGATGTCAGCCCCATGTTATTAATACCCTCTGAAATCAGGCCCTTGCTGCTACTATCAAAGATCTGCTCAGAGATGGTTTCCAAAAGTGAGAAAGATAGCAAGACCTGCTTCAGCACAGAGTAGGCAAAGGCGACCCTGTCTATCCTGAAGAACCTTAGCTGGTACTGGAAGTATTAAAAACACCTTGCTACATCTTGTAGTGAACAAACCTGTACACATTCTCAGCCCTACTGCCATTCAGCCTGAGTAGCTGGCACAATCCCACACCTCAGTGCTCCCCATTAAACTCAGTGAGCCAGCCTAAAAATAAGCAGCAAAAATGTCATCACTGCACAATATTCCCCATCCCTGCCATCTTTCATTGCTTGCCTCATTAATAACAAGGGATCCTGGTTTTCTCTGATTTAAAAAAAATCCCCAATTTCGGGTTAAAAAAAAAGAAACCCCAAATCCATGTTTCCATGATTCAAATGAAACACCACTAATATATATATATATATATGGAAAAATATGGATTTGGGGTTACTTTTTTTTTACTGAAAATTGGGGATTTTTTTTAAATCAGAAAAAAACAGGATCCCTGCTGATAACTGAGACAAAGTTATTCTAGCTTTAAATGATGCAGGCTTTCTTTTTAATTGTTTCTTGCTGGGCCAGTTTTTCCTTTCACTTTTAAGTTCTGCATTGACCAATGCTTTTTTTAAAGGTTGTGACTGAGCCCATTGTCTCTGAAAGGCATGTTACCAAAAAAGGAAACAAAACTAACCAGTGGAGGAGTTTTACACATTTTTAGAAGTCGAATACCATTCTTTGACATACGAATTAAAAAAAAAAAAGGTATTAGATTTGCAAATCAGCCAGTCTGAAGCAACAGCTCCAAAGTATACTAAACAAAGCATAACCTCAGTAGAATTAAGTTAAAAAGTTTTATGTAAATATTTTATTTATTCATGTTTTGTAAATCAGAAAGCAGTGCTTGGTAATAAAAAATAATACCGAACTATAGTTTTTTCTTCCAGTTCATGCTCATGTATTTACCAGGTTTTCCAGGTTACAGACACCTGTCTTTTAACATAACGTTCACCTTAAGCATAATTTGTAGCTTTGGATTATTAATATTAGTCTTCTGAACTATTTACAAATATATTACAAACTTTAAACCTCAAAGCAAAGAAATATCTCAATTATCAATCTGACATGAGGATCAGTAGCTCCTACAGAACTTCAGTGTTTAAGAGAAACTATACACACAGTGCGGGAAGTCTGAATAATTTATATCTTTAAAAAAAAGAAAAGCATTGAAAGTTTTTTTGAAGATAAAACTTCTGCATTGTAGTGGTACCTACAGACCAACCGCAACTGGAGGACAAGAATGTGATGTGATGTCACTGTGCTTGTAAAGAGCCTCGTCTAAGTCCAGTGCCTTATTATTCATTTTCACAGTCATGCAGCCATGGAAGAAAGCAGTGACTGGAGTTGAAGTGACAGGAACCGCTGCATAAAAGGGAAGGAAGATATCCTGTAATGTCTCGCTTTCAGTAAATACCATTCCTACCATGTCTGGGTCACCCCCTACTCTGAAAAATTCAAATGCATCCATATTTCCCCTCTCCCATTCTAGAACCTCTGTACTTCTTTTTCAGTCTTTTTTTCCCCAAAGGGGGCCTCAAGTTTGCTTGTTTTTTCACATACAGAACAGAAGCCTCAGGTTAGATCATCTCCTGGTTTAGGTCCATTCATTTCAGCAGAGATATGCTGATTTACACATACTTGTAGGCTTAGACCCATACTTTAAACATGAGACACCCACTGCTTTTCTATTTCGACATTTCATAGATTTCATAGTCATTAGGGCTGGAAGGGACCTCACAAGATCATCAGGTCTAGCCCCCTGCCCAAGGGGCAGGAAGTCAGTTGGGGTCAGGAGACCCCAGCAAGATAAGCATCAAAGTGTATTTCCTCCTCCCACTCCCTTGCTATTTGGATGTTTGCAAATGTGGCACTGCATTTGTGAATTCTCCCTCTCTAAGGTATTTGCTAAAAATGTGTTATGAACAGGGATGTGGGTTCTCTCTGTTTAGAAAAAAATTGTCTCATAAAAATCACAAATTCTCTGATTGGAAATCCCCAAATCTGCTGCAGTTTTCCATGATTGATTTTATATATATTATACATCTATAAATCTATGCATGTATGTATTGAACACCACTACTGAACACAATATTTTATTGATATATTTACAATCTTATTTGGAAGCCTACCAGTGCCTCAATCACTATAATTAATTCTAAATACTAATAAATTTTGGTGTTTGATTTTGGGTTTTTTATCATGGAAAATCAGAGCTCCCCCTGCTCCTTCACTCAGCAGGATGTGGGTCCAGCTGCGGCTGTCCCCCAACCTACCACTGCTTTGTGGCACTGAGCAGCCCCAATATGCCAGTGCCCTGCCCGTCATTGCCCTTCACTCCCGACCCACAGCCCTCCAAACCCTGCTGGTGCCCCTCGCTCCCCAACCACAGTCCTCTGGTCTTACCAGTGCCTCTCACTCCCCACCCAGAGTCTCCCTGCCCCTGCTTGTGCCCCCTTACTCACCACCCACAGCCCCCTGCCCTCCCCATACCTGCCAGAGGGGGCCCCCAGCTGCTAGGGCTATGAGGCCAGGGACCCAGGTCTGCAGCCCCGTGCCTCCCTCCCCCCCTGCGCAGCAATGCCCAAGCCCCAGATGCCCATGTGGAAGGTGGCGGCTGCTGCGGCAGAGTCCACTCCCGCACAGGAGGCATGGCCCAAGTGCAGCCCATCGGGGGTGGGGAGGAATGAATGCAGGCTGTCTCCCTGCCCTACTGCCCTTGCTCTAGGGCCTCTGCAGCCCACTGGGACACCCAGCACAGCAGGGCAGAGTGGGGCAGGGAAGTCTGATGCTGCCGCCACAAGCCCTGCACCACCATGGTGCAGCACTCCCTGCATGCAGCAGGGGTGGCAGCATGGAGTTGTGCCCCTCACTGCTGCTGGACACACAGGGGGCAATTTGCCACAGCAGTCTAGGTCTCACAGCAGCATCACTGAGCTTTGCTGCCCTTCTCTGCCCTGCTGTGCCAAGTCTCACCTGCTAGGCCACGGAAGCCCCCGGAGGGAAGGGCAGCAGGGCAGGGAGCCCAAGCCTGCAGCAGGCACCCCACACCCACCCCATGCACAAATTTGGGGGACACAAGCCTCCCATGTCTCTGCAGGAGTGCACGCAGTGTTGGGGAGCCAGCCCCTAGACGAGCTGCCCACAGCCCCATCCTGCTCAGGCCCTGCAGCCATGCTTTCTAGCGCCAGGCTCCAAGCCCCACACACCACCCCCAGCCCCACCCAAGCCACCCAAATCCCTCACTATGGAGGCCTCAATCTCCCCACTGTGGGAAGCTGCTCTCCAGGCTGCCTGGCAGCCATGGGCATGTGTACACACACATGGCACCCCCTCCCTGACTGTCCTCCTCCAGCTCCCGCCAGCCCCTTGTAGGCTGGAATGTTACCAGCCTGTAAGGGGAAACCCACCACTTCCAGATTTTCTCCTTTAAAGAAGAAAAAAGCAGAGTTTTACCACATTTTTCCATCACAAATGAGAAACCTGGCTCCCTGGTTACGAAGGGCCTCGTGACAGGCAGGTCCAGCCTGAATGCAGTACCTACCTCACCCTGTTTTGAATATTTATTGTTCTTTGATTATGCAATGCAACTGTGCACAAAAGTTAAGGACATTCTTCAGAAAGGTACTGAAGGCAATGAACTGAATTAATGAGACTTTAATGTTCCCTATGGTAACACACTGTTTGCAGCCCTCTAATCACAGCTTTGTTAGCCATGGAGGGAGGGGGAAGGCAACACCTTTTTTTTAATGCCCATAAATATCTATGTAAATACTGAATTAGGAAGAGACAAAAAAATTTAACAAGTATCAGTACCTGAAATAAATTGATATTACTCATGTTGATAACCTAGTCACTTTAAATAACAATTAAAAAAAAACAACATTCAATAAACCTCACATGAAAAGTTAAAGAAAGAAGTGTTCACCTTCATGCCCTAAAGGACACTAGTTTATCTGCACTTTAAAGCTAGACTAAACAAGTTGGTTGTGCAAGTGAGTGATTTCATCTGACAAGGGTGGAGGAAACTGGGCAAATCCCTTTTCTCTGTATCAAAGAAGGTAGGTCTAGGTCTAGGTCTAGAGAGCTCTCTCTCAACATAGGTAACAGAGGTCCTCATGATCCTTATACCATTTGGAAGTGCATTTATAGAAAGTGTAGGCATGGCAAAAGCTGATTACCTGAAGGGTGCAAGGACTTCTAAGATGCTACATAAACTTCACTGCATTGTCTTTACACCTCAGCAAACCTATCAGTGTATCTGCATTCTCATTTCACATCAGAATGGATGCACATCAGAAAAATTTTAAGAATCTAAAATATCCAAAATCTCATCTAAGCATTTTGGTCTGTATATTGGATAGAAACAACAGGATAAATCTGGTTGTATAACATTTCTGGGAATACAGAATGCAACAAAATATACAGGAGAATCAGCTTTATTGAGCGTTATTAGTCAATTTTAAAAAAAAATCCTTTTCCCCTTAGAACCCTAGCTATTTCCTCCATACCTATAACATTAATGGCACATACATAGTACTGGACATATGAATTCAGATTATTCAAGGTAAATCCAGACAATTCAAATGTAAGGATTCTATTTGATGGACCCAACAAAACAGACACACTTGCAGAAGTTCTTGTTGATAAGCAGATCAGCTCATAAAAATGAAAGGAATCACTTAATCTTGATGAACTACTCAAAGTCAATCCAATGTGCAATATATCTACAAAAGTCAAAGTAGACAAAGTTGACACGGCTCAATTTTAAGAGACTTTTGCCAAAATGGATTCTTTACCATAATGATCTTGGCTTAACTAGAAAGGAGATCTGCAAGAATTTCCACCTTGTGCAACTACCCTTCAAACTGTTCAGCACTATTAAAATGATACCATTTAAATACAAATATCAAGCGCTTCTGATGCTACAAAGCTCCATTAAGAGACAAGGCATTTGTGCTGGGTCACATTATGCAATATAGAGAGTGCTCTCCTGCTAAGAAAGAAAAACATTCCACATCTTATGATGTTGAGCTTCTTTATGAGCTTCCACAGACTAAAGAGCACTGAGTGCATGGTCTGGAAATCCATGAAATAGAAACAAAGCAGAGATGTCACTCACACAGTGTGAAAAGAGACCTCATTTCCAGTGTTGGTAACACACTGGTTCATTAGAGTTGGTAAAAAAAAATTTCAAATTTGGAGTACAACATTCATAGCAATTTTGATTGATAATTCTCCCCCAGTGCCCGTTCACCCCTTGGCCCCCCGACACTCCTCATGTTTCAGCGAGCTAAACAGCTAGTCAAAATTTCAAAGTTTCCAGGAAAACTGAAGGGAGGATGAGAGGATTCTCCTTTGGTGGGGGAAGCAGGAAAATTGTCTCACCCTCATGTTTATATCCTATTTTCCCCCACCCAAAGTTTTGACTAGCCATAGCAAATGTAAATACTAGGGCTGTGTGAAGCTTCGGTTGCCGATTCAATTCGAAGGAGATTTGGCCCAATTCAGCAGCCGAATCTCCAAATCGAATCAGGAGACCAATTAAAAGGTCCAAATCAATTTGAAGCCTCTGAATCGATTCAGAGATTCGGGCAGTCCCCGCTCACTGCCGCGGGGAGCTTGACCCAGGCTCTGTGCTAGTAAGTAGGGAGCAGGGGGCTGGAGGAG